GATTAAAGGAACTAGTTTTAAATTGTGGGTGGCGTAATGTCAGACCACCCCAGCTGCTGTTTTTGCCTCTTTCCCGCCACATTTCTTCAGCGAAATATTTGGCTAACATGCCTTTTAAATATTGTTGATTCCACTTGCATGTCTCTCCCCCTCTGTAATGAATAAGGTGTGCAGGGCAGGCTTGCCTTCTAACCGCTCTCCTGGCCCGTTTTTAACCTTTTGTTGCCATACTGCCACATGCAAAGCACGTCATTCAAACCAGAGATCCTTGTAAAGAGGCTTAAAAAGATGACAAGTGTGTGTGTGTTGGGGCGAGGGGGGGCCCCTGCAAGTTGGTCGCACCAGCATTTTCCTTTGTACAAAGCACACCTGTCTGCAGGCACCTGCCCAGCAGGAAGTCGTGGCTACCACACGCCCTTCGAGGGCTTGCCCATCCCTCTTCCTGGCATCGCAGGAGACAGCTGAGCAGAGCAGCTGGAAACCCCTCCAGTGGAGCGGGAATTAATCACCATCAAAGTTCGCTCCCAGGTAGCCCATTTCCATGGGCTGCCTAGGCTCCGCCATTCCCCTGGGAGGGCCAGACGGGCTCGGGGCCGGGAGGCATAACCTGCCGGGTCTTCCTTGTTAACTTCTGGGTCGGAGATCATTTCCGTGCAAGTGGGAGCCCTGCCCGCGCGGCGCCTTCTCTCCCTCTCCAGCTCTCAAAAGCCTCTCCGGAGCGAACAGCGTCTCCCTCCCGGACCCCCGCCTGCAAACGGTTAAGCCGGGCGGCGGATCGGGGTCGGGGGGAGGAGAGACGCGAGGGGCGCTCCCGAAAAGCATCCTTCTAACGAGCCGGGACCTTCCTTCCCCCTTCGCTCTGCGGCTGGGGCTCGGCCTTCCATCGCCGCCTTCCCTCCGCAGACGCAGCAGACGCCGGCTCGCCCCCCTCCCTTCGCCCCCTCCTCCCCCGCCCCGGCCTCCCTTGCGCTCTCCGCACGCACGCACAGAGGCAAGTTAATGGGGAATAAAGAGGCTGGAGTCCACGGCAAGTGCCTGCTCCTTACAAATGAGCCTCCAGGCAGCTCTCCCCCCCCCTCCCTCCCCCCCCTCTCTCTCTCTGCGCCGGCGAGGGAGGGAGGGAGC